TATAATTGAAACTTTGTAGCCTTGAGAGGAGCTCAGAGCCAGCCAGGGCGGGCGGGAGGGAAGCCTCCTGCTTGCTCCAGCTCTGTGGCCATGGCCAGCTGAAAGCAGGTATCTTGGGTTTATGTACCTTCTATAATTGAAATTTTGTTGCTTTGAGTGGAGCTCAGAGCCGCCACGGCAAGCGGGAAGTTTGGCTTCCTCCATCATTGGGGCAACCAAGCCTCCTGCTTGCTCCAGCTTCGTGGCTGCTGGCCGCCATCTTGGTTGGGTTAATTTGCATATAGTCGCTCTGATTGGCTGGTGGGCATGGCTTAAGGCGTAGCGAAGGTATGGTCAATTTGCATGTTTGTATTTTATTAGTGTAGATTGCTCTAATACATTATTGTCCAAATTCAAGAACTTTAAACTTTTATTTACTGGATTGCAAGAATTTAGTCCCCACTCCCATGGTATCCTCAGTCATTTCTGAGAGTTCTTCAGGGGCTGTCTCACGTGGGCTCAAGAATGTGCGTGGGCTCAGGAATTGCCACACATTAAATATCCCCCAGTTGTGGGAGAAGTTTTATTCTGGTGTTCCCAACTGGGTTACCAGAGAACCCAAATACTAAGCAGATTTCACAGCTTCCTCTCCAGGGTGTCAGGTCTCCATCCAGGATCTTTTCCAAACCACCTCCTGTGTGCATTTCCTCTGAATTTGGGAAAGTGTTGTCTTCACCTTGTATGCCTGGAATGAGGGCACAATGGCAGTAATGTGGAGGTTTAGATTTGGCTAAGTAAGTGGGCTAATTCTCCAGCTTGTCTCCAGCTATATCATCTTCATCCTCAAAATCAATATCCACACCCCACATCCACCCACTCAGTCTAGCTCAAGCATGTCAGACTCGCGGCCCACAACAAATATTTTTGTGGCCCAGCCAATATAACGGTATGTAAGAAACGTTTTAATAAAAATTTTGTAACTTAATTTTTACAATAGTCATGTTGCATTCATTTCCCTTACGCACCTTACATGCAGGCGCACCATTTCTCTCCTCTGATACTAGCAGCAAATGTTTTAGCAGCTGATTGCCACGTCATTAGTCTTGTACTGACTTGTTTGGGGTGCTCAACAGGAAATATTTCGCTTTTGGAGAACAAGAAAAATAGGTTTATTTGCATTAAGCTTATTAATTTGTGCAGTTATTCAGTGTCTGGTAAGTTAATGTTCAAGAAAAAAATTAATTTCTATTAAAATGTTCTATTATTTTATGTTAATGATTACTCATTTATTTCAGCCCTTTGTTTTCAGCATGTCTCTATCTAAATAAACCTATGTTTCTATGAAAATTGAAGCTTTTGTTTTTTTGTGTCCCACATATTATTAAACCTTGTTTATTTGGCCCGTGTTAGCCTTTGAGTTTGACATGCTTGGGCTCCTTTACAGTTAAAAAGGGCTAGATTTTTTTTTTTTTTTGAATACTGCATCTCTAGCCTGGCTTTGATTTTTGCTAAAGGACATAGGGTGTGGTGAGCAAGTCCACTACCAAATCTCTTGGAATCACTGAGTAGCAGGTGCTGGCTTCTCTCTTCTGCTTCTTTCTTCTAATGACATTTTGGCTTCTCCACTGCTTCCTTTCAGGGAGTCAATAGCTATAAAGGAAAATAACATTTACTGTTAACTGAGCCTATTTGTTCACAATAGCGGGTGGCTTATAACCCTGCCTGTCTCACTTTCTAAAACCTCCTGGCTAAGTTTTACTTTCACAACAGTAGAAAGAGATCCTGCCCATCAGTTACAAACCACCAAGTGGTGAGAGTTTTCAAGTCACTGAGAAACACTACTGTTTTTTGTTGGGCAGTGTCCCTTCCAGCCTTGGTAGCTTTTACATCCTACCTGGTGGTGCCCTGAAGTGCGGATTCACTGAGTAGGATGATCCCAAGAACATCAGTAAGGATCCTACCAAGTTTTTAAAATATTTTGAATTCTTTCTCTTCAAATTAAAAGTGACATTCCCTATCTTCCAAGGGTATTAGCT